TCCAGTTAGATGTAGCATTCTGCGGGGTGGTGAAACTCTTTAACTTGCCCTGTATTGTTGTTCAGCTGGTGACCAGGAGCAGCGTGAGTGTGTTCCTCTGATGGAAATGTAAAAGGAAGTGTCCATCTCAAAGGAAGTGTCCACCTCATGGGAGGTGATTCTGCCCCTCTACTCCACTCTTGTAAGGCCCCACCTGGAATACTGCGTCCAGTTCTGGAGCCCCTATCACAAGAGAGACCTGCAGTAGCTAGAACAAGTCCAGAGGAGGCCACCAGGATGATCCCAGGGCTGGAGCAGCTCTCCTATGAGGACAGGCTGAGAGAGTTGGGGCTGTTCAGTATGGAGAAGAGAAGGCTCCGGGGAGATCTCATAGCGGCCTTCCAGTACCTGAAGGGGGCCTACAAGAAAGCTGGGGAGGGACTTTTCATAAGGGCAGTTAGTGACAAAACAAGGGGAAATGGGTTTAAACTGGCAGAGGGTAGGTTTAGATTAGATGTGAGGAAGAAGTTTTTCACTGTGAGGGTGGTCAGACACTGGCACAGGTTGCCCAAGGAAGTTGTGGATGCCCCCTCCCTGGAGGTGTTTAAGGCCAGGCTGGATGAGGCTTTGAAAAACCTGGTCTAGTGGAAGGTGTCCCTGCTGGGGGGGTTGGAACTAGATGATCTTTAAGGTCCCTTTCAACCCAAACCATTCTATGATTCTATGATTTCCTCTCTAGCAATAGAAAGTTGAATGTTGGCAGCCCGTGTTCATCTGAGTTTAAGGTTATAATGGAATAGTTTTCCTTGTGAGTACTTTGGAGAAAACCATTTTCAATTTACTTTGTGTCTGCAAGTGATGTCTCTTTAAGTGGTGAATAATATTAATATGTACTATTCTAGTAAATGTAAAGACTAAATAGATTAGGTATAAAATAATCTGCAGGTATTTGCAAGCATTTGTTTTCTAACAGTTTGATAGAGAAAGGAAGAAAAAAAAGACAATTTGGACTGGAAACCTCCCTGCCTTTACTGGGTTTTAACATCTTAATTTAAGCTGTGATTCCATTTGCTTTTCCTTGGTATTAGTGCTGACACAAACTGGTCCCAGCCTTAGCTACTTTTTCACTCCCAAACATTGTCCTTTTTAGTTGATTTGTCATGCTTTTGGGGGAGGAGGGGAGCCTGCTATGAACTGGAAACTAGTTTGGCTGAACATGCCCAGCTTACTCTTTCCTAGTTGATCACTTAGATCTGGAAAAGTGATCTATCTGTTCAGTGTGAGCAGCTGCCCAGTATGGGGCAGAATCAATGGAAGGTGCTGAAACAGGGCAAGTGTCTTACACCAGAGTTTCTCATAAAAACTTTACCCTGAGCTATTAGTTTTTGCAAGGGCAGAGCTTTTATTTATGTTCAAGTTGTAGCCATTACAGTTGTAAAAATAACATTCAGCATTTGGAAGGCTGTGAGATTGCCTTCTGGGTTTTATTGGCAGCTTTTGTTGCTCTTTGTTGTTTTATTAAATTGCATCAGTATTAATTAAAAAAACCCATTTGCTTATGTTATGCAGCATATTTAAAATATTTGTGAAATAACATGATCATGCTGGTTTTACCCATACATTGTTAAATTTAGAGAAACCATGAAGAGCTGGATTTGTGGGCACTTGCAGTGCTGACAGGAAGGAAGATTTGGGAGAGCAGTCGTCTCTTCTCTGTTTTCTTTGGAAGCTGCTGTGAAGCTGGAAGAAAATTTAAACATCAGAATCTGAGAGAGGGCTCTCTGCTTTGGCTTTCTGATGGGAATTTGTCATAAATCTCATTTGTATGGTCCTTTGAAGATTTATTTTTGTTTTTGAAGGTTGAGTAAACTTGTCTGGATGCAGTAATGGAGCTCTGAGCCACCTGACCTCCAAGACTGTGGTTTGACAGGGCTGTATTTTTTACTGGAATACCATTTCAGCAGCTTGCATTACTACTTCAGTTATGCTGGCACAATTCTTTGAGGGACCTGTGCAGTGAAAGAGATTGAGAAGGTGATCCAACTGGAAAATAGTCTGGTTTAGGAACAACAACAAAAAAGTTAGGTTTCATGCAGAGTGGTAGAGGTAGTAAATTGGGAGTAAGAGGTCATTTGTAGATTATTTATGCTGGCAATGACTGAAAGATGGACTCCTTGCATTCTTTCTGTCAGTGCTTTGAACAGGAAGGAGCTGTCCTCGCATCTCAGACATCAATGGGTGCAAGACAGCGCTTTGAGTATGTTCCATTAAACAGTTCAGTTGAGCTACTTAACAGGATGAGAAGGGAAAATGATTCCTGTTCTAGGTTTCAACAGAGGTGGGAAACATCTTCTGAAATGCTGCTCTCTGTCAATGTTAGAAAGATTTTGTGATTCTGCTGAGTCAACTCAGCTGGTGTAACTCCTATGGGAACAAAATTGCTTCTTTTGTCAAGGCAGTGCAGATGGGTGCAAAGTGCAGTGCAGTGAGAAGTAGCTTTTTAATAGCTGCTATTTAGAAATAGGCAAATAGCAATGTGTTATTCTATCAAGAATAATTTCATCTTGTGCTTTGTGGGTGCAGTTGCTTGGATGGTCAGAAGCATTACCAAAGGTATGAACTAAGTTTATAGTTGGGAAGGGAAGACCTTAAAAATAAGAATTATTTAAGGAGCAGTATAATGTGGCTCTGCAGAGCTGCTAGTTACTGTGGGAGAAAGTTGGTCTAAAAGCTAAAACTGCTTTTGGAAGTTTTCAGAGCGCACCGTGGTAGGAATTGTTTTGCTTGCCTAATGTTCAGGGTGGCTTGCTCCACAGTGCTGTGGTCCTGTTGGCAGGTTGGGGAGTGCTGCTGTAGTTCTAGCTCAGTGACTTCCAGACTGTTTTGATCATCGGCCTGCTTTCCTGCTGGTAGCCCGCAGAATCTCTTGCTTGCTGCCACGCTTTGAAAGCTTTTCCAAGCAGTATCATCTGCTCTGTTGCTGGAGAAACAGATTTAGCGTCTGTTACTTTTTTTTTTAATGTTCTTCCTCAGCATATTGTGTCTTAAGCGTCACTGTACTGAGCATTGGTACTGCTTGTTACTGTGTGTGATGCCTTGTTTCTTGTCCTCCCTGTAAGCAGCTTCAGCACCCATCCCTGTTGGAAGGTGTCACTTTCTGAAACTTCTGTAAATGAAACAGGTGTGGAGAACTGAGCAATGGTCATTTCATTCTGCTGTTGCCGAACAACCTCCTTCCCCCAAGCAGTGCTAGATCTCGACTGTCAGTACACTGAGGCAGACAGCATTGTACCAGTCCACCTTTGAGACTCACCTTTTTAACTGTGGGTCTAAAATTTTTCTTTTGCGAGGGTGGAATTGTAACTGGTGTGTTGGTTGCCGCAGGGCGGCAGCTGACAGCAGGAAGAATGCTGTTTTCAGGCTCTGAAGTTCTTTTGCACAGTGTCTGTCTTTTATCTGTGTGATCTTGTGCTATGCATTCATAAACTCTCTTGGGGAAGACAGGTTTCCTTCAGCTACGTTCTCGCAGTACGCAGAACTGTGGATAACAGATACTGATTTGAGTGCCATAGGCTGTTGTGAATCACAAACAAATCCAGCACCAAATGCAGAGGAAAAATCTGCAGGAAGCAGTATTAGTGAAAGGTGCTTGTGATATTTGCTTCCACGTGTATTTTAATGAACTGCTACTGGTACATGTGAACTAAACTTTTTATTAACTTCTGAGCAAAGGTGGGCCTTGTGAGTAATGTATAGTGTTGCAGGTAAGCGGATTTGGGAGGTCTTTGAGAGTAAGATATAATTGGGTTTTTTGCTTGTTTGGGTTTTTTTTTTTCTTTTTCCCCACTCTCTTTCTCAAAAAAACCCCAAAAAACCAACAGCCACCAAACCCCAAACATATATTCCTAGGAGCCTTTTGCTTCTCCCTTTTAAGGATCGTGTCTTTGTGTCTCTCTTTACCTTTTTGGACTTAGTTCTGGTTCTTGAATTGCTGTCTACCATTTTTTCTAAAAATCAGTTTGACTGTAAAACATAGGAATATACTTGACCAAAGATAAATGTCTCTGTCTTAGCTGATTAAAAAGCATGATGCAAAATGAAAAAGATTTATAGAAAATTATCTTCTAGAGTAGCGTTTGGTGCTTGACTGTTTTGGAAGACTGGAGATGAGCACCATATATCACTATTTCTGTTAGAAACTATAAATTCCTGGTGGTAAGGAGAAGTGCTAATATTCTGTAACTAATTAACAGATTTCAGCCAATGGAAATGTTTTATTTTGACTTAAATTTCAATTTAGATATGAATTGTGCATCAGGCAGTTATGTCTTTATAGTAGATGTTAGGTCAGTGAGGTTTTCTGGAATTTGGGCACTACATAACTTAAAACGTGCTCAGTCATGTTTGTTGGAGTGTTCTCCATCACTTAAACTCATTTAAAAGCCTGATTTTAAGAAAATCCCCTGCAAATTTTGTATATACGCTGTTGACATGTTAAAGTTCAGTTAGATTTTACAGTAATAATGCTAGTTAGTACATACTCACAAATTGGACTTTAATTAGTGTTATTGAGGTGTCCAGCTTCCATCTGTCCATAACATACTGAAAGCAGTTTTGTAAATTATTTTATAGTAAGGCAAATATAATCAAGCACTTTATATAATCTTTAACGGCCTTTAATGACAACTCTTGCAGATCCAGTGTAACAAACTTAATTTTTTTTTTCCTTGCAGTGATGTTAGTGGCATGTTTATAAAATCCAGCTGTGGAAATTCAGATGTTTTTAATGTTTTTTTAATAGCAAGAACAGTCTGTCTTTAATCCCTTGATTGCCTTATATTGGCATTGTTCACGCTGTGACCCTGGTCAGATATATCATTAAAATACATTTCATTTATCTTTTGTTCTTGTGTGTTTGGACATTGAAATTGACATGAAAATCACAAAGAACTGAATAAAAAAAACAGGGGTTGTTTGTCTGTTTCTCTCTGTGCCTCACCTGGTCTTTATTCTCTCTTCAGGTCAGACCACCAGATGCAGTACACACCACTGGATCTGCAGATACCCATGTAAGTCCAAAATGTTTAAAAACAACAACAAAAAACCCCCCCCCAAAAAAATAAAACCAAACCCACAAACTCAAAATAGGCCTGTTCTCTAAAGAAAACTACTTTCTGCGGGCAGACTCTGCTGCATTGGGTATCTAGTCTTGTAGGTGTTTGCAAATGAACCCTTGATTTTCGTGTTTAAAAATATTCCTTGAAACTTTCAAACAGCTGCTACTGCAGGCAGCTCAGCTGCGTGACACTGCATTCATCATAGATACTTGACCAGGAAGAAGCTGTAAGGACTCTTTTTTTTCTCTTATACTGAGGAATAGTTCAAAATACAAGGTGATTAATTGTGAGAGTCGCTGTATATTAAAGTGTCTCTTTGTATACAGTTGGCTTCTCACAATGAGATGGTGTGGCCCTAAGCAACAGGTAAGAGAATAATTACCTGGGTGGTTTTTTCCCCACTGAAGAGACCTTCGCCCGGTCTCTGTTGCTTGAAGGCCTAGCTATTTCTGAGCTAAAATGAAAACAGGCAGCAAGAGCCAAACAGAGCATTAATACCAGACAATTCATTCTGTGGTTTGGATTTTCTTCCAAGATTTCAATTTGATTTTGTATATGAAAAAGTCAATTACCAGCTGTTAAATTGCTTGTAAGATGGCATTATTCAAGTTGTGATAGCAGATACTTTTCATAAAGAAGTAGATCCTTTTATTGATTTGCTTTACTTGCTGCAATTTGAAAAATTATTCTGACATGTCTTTTGAATATGTTGTGTTGTCCATGGAACTGTGACTTCAATACTTTGTGCCTTTTTACAGTCACAGCAACGTTCCATTTGATGGGAGTTTGCTTTCATACAGTGATTTGATTACTCAACTAGAAGCTTTCTCTTTGCTTTCATCATTTCCTTTACTCTTTTCACTGTATTCCATTTTTTGAAGGAGGAAGGCCTTCAAGTTTTATGTAGCTCTGTTATTAGGAATTTTATGAAGCTGCATATGGTTAATAATAATGTTATAATTGTGTACTGGAATGTAACTAGCAGCATAAATTCATTCAATCCTATTAACTTTATATTGCTCCAGCCACTTTGAAGGGGTGTGATTTTGTTGGCGGTGGTTTTCATTTTTTAAAAATTTTTTTTCCTGAGACCCTTTCTAAACTGAGGGTATCTTAGTGCCAGGACTCTTGTTATCTTACTACTGCTTCCCTTATGTCACTAGAACATGTATTCATGTGACTGATCTGCAGGTATCCTGTAACATTACTGTGAGAGATTATTTCCTGATGACAGGATAAGCCCTGGGTAGGAGTGTGGTATTCATTTTGTCTGCGTTGCTGTGCCATAGCAACATGCCCATGGTTTGCTAAGATTGTGTATTGTTTGTCATACTGAAATATAAACTGTATTTCAGACAGCAGGAAAACTGGATTTTATTAACTTTAAAAACACACATATGCATAGAAAGCTCCCCATAAATGTGTCACAGGAGCTCATGTTGACAAACATAGAGTCATAAACCAGAGAACTCCACAGACAATGCTGCATTCATTTGTAACTGAAATTTTCCTTTCAATGATGAAGTAGGGAATATTTGGGGACCTTATTAATGTTTATAAATATCTAAAGGGTGGGTGTCAAGAGGATGGGGCCAGACTCTTTTCAGTGGTTGCCAGCGATAGGACAAGGGGCAATGGGGGCAAGCTGGAACACAAGAGGTTCCTCTTAAACATGAGGAGAAACTTTACAGTGAGGGTGACAGAGCACTGGAACAGGCTGCCCAGAGAGGTTGTGGAGTCTCCTTCTCTGGAAATGTTCAAAACTCTTCTGGATGTGATTCTGTGCAACCTGCTTTTAGGTGAACCTGCTTTGGCAGGGGGGTTGGACTAGATGGTCTCCTGAGGTCCCTTCCAACCCCTACCGTTCTGTGATCCTGTGAGTTTTTCAAAAAAGTACGAGCTATTTTGGTCATACACTTGGCACAGATCTAAGAGGTTCTTGCAATACTAAGCAATGATTATAAACTGAAGGTATTTCAAACAGTTGTTTTTCACAGTGCTTTTTTGTATGTAAAATTCTGAATAGGAAGCTGGTACTAGAAATAAAAGCATTTACAAATAAAATTATTTCTAGAGGAAACTCTGCAGTTTCATCTGAAGTTTTTTAATAACATGACAGTTAAGTTGCTTACCTTATTTGTCTTGATTTTTTATTAAATTAGTTGTTTTTTTCCTGTTTTTTTTAAAGAACTGTCATTGCAAAAGTGGTAGTTTTAAGCGTTACTGTGCACTGCATAAGACCTTCCAAAATGTTTTGAAGATAAAGGCTAATGGCTTGTGTTTAGGTCTTCTGGGGCTTTTTTTCTTGTTCTTGTGCTAATTCTTTATGAATTACTGTGCTAAACTAGAAGTTTCCAGAGAAGTTTCTTTTCTCTCCTTTCCTTCCCCTTGTCCATGTCTTTTGAACATGGTCTTCATCCTGTTGTCTTTCCTCTCTCAAGGCTTCACTGTTAACTACCTAAATCGAATCTTAACAATTCTAGTTCCATACTCTCCAGAAACGACTGTTACATGAAGTCCTTCCTTCGTCAGATTTTCAAGAAGGGACGAATGGAGGTTAGATTACCTAAAATAGAAACAATCTAGGAGCTAAATGTGAGGTCTTTTGTTTTATTTAACTAGGAGCTGAAAACGTCAAGAATTCATTTTCTTCTTCAAACAAAAATATTACGTTTAATCTTGAAATGCAACTGAAATTTAGCATCCATTTTGTTCTTCAGTTACACCTGTTCAACTTTGTGCAAACATTCTTCTGGTCAAAATAGACAGAAAAGCTTTAAGAACATCCCCCGCCCCCGGAAATTGCAATGATCAAAAAGGGACTGTAGGGCAAAGCATGTATTTCTAAAGGCTTAGAAACTATATTGCATAGTGGTACAGGCTCTTGCAGAAAATGCCTTTCAGATTTCAGCTTTGTTTGAGTGGTGTAATAAAAGCTTTCTCATTAACCAAAGATGGTTTGTTTTCAAAAAAACATAGGTTTAAATTTTGTGGTTGTATTAGATAGTGGCAAGTTCAGAGAGAAGTACAGGAAGCCTTTTCTGTGTTTTATTTAGGTTAAGTCACTTCAGGTAGAAAGTCTCTGGTCTAGATCAAGCTAAAGAGTAACATTATTTTATTTGTTTTGTAAACAGTTTAATGTTAGTTTTCTTACTCCTTTTGCAGCCTTTAATGGAAAGCAAACTTAAAGCATTCAGTATTGGCAAAATGAGTGCTGCCAAAAGGACTCTGAGCAAGAAGGAGCAAGAAGAATTAAAAAAGAAGGTAATGGTATTCAATGAAAATTGTATTTTGCATGCAGAACTGAAATAAGTTTGTTTTTAGATTAGAACCAACTTTATCACCAAGTTTCTTTATTTTGGTAATTGTACCTTTCTAAGAACAAAAGTGAATTGTATTTTACATGTTTAATTTGTTCTTGGCATCCGTGGCGATAAGATAGAGAGAGATGCTTGCTTCTCTCTCCTTCTGTGTGAGAAATCAAGTTCTTTGGCTTCCTAAAATACTGAATCAGTCAGTAATACAACAATCAATAGATTGGTGTGTTACTGATTGATTACAATCAATAGATTGTTGTATTGCTCAAAATGAAGACAACTGTCACCTAGGTTATCCACTGTTCTCTGTTTGCTCTCTATCATTGGATTTCAGTAATTAGAAAGAGTACCTGTCCTCTCTGAAACTGTTTCAGTACGCATCCTTATTCTGTAAAATGTACTTTTGTCTCAAGACTTATTTTGGAATTAATAAAAACATCAGATTTTGATCCTGAATTTTAGGATGCTCAGGAGTGTCCAAATTTTAGGAAATATGTAGCTTACAGTTGGTAAAGTGGAAGTTTTGACACAGCTCTTACTGTATTTCAGTGGGATATCTCCTGCTAGGTCGTTGGAAATAGTGACCTAAAGAAATGTGGTAGTGCTAAATTTAGTGTCTCACTCAACTTTATTAAGTCATTGAATTAACTTCTTTTCTGGGAAATGCATAAAGGTGATCCTGTTGTTAATCTCCTTTAATCACGTGGGCTGATCATAGTGAGTAGGATGGAATACGTGCTGTTCTCTGATGCTTAGGTCAGCAAAGCTCCAGTCTTATCATACAAAAGACCGGCATTATGTTTTCAATTTGGCATCTCTTGAATGTTAAATTGCAATGTAAACTCTTGGAAATGAACAGTCGTATTTGAGCATACAGGCCTGTTTTCTTTACGTATTATCTGCTGTGTTTTTCCCACATTTCTCAGAAATTTGAGTTCTGTCTAAAATTGAAACTCATTTGATGTAGTTTGTAGCATGAACTCTAGAAAATAAAAAGGAATGTCACATAGCTGATTTAAGAATAGCTGTCTAGTGAAGGTTGTTCTGTGATGATAGTAAATAGATTAACATTTGCTATGTAGGAGGATGAGAAGGCTGCTGCAGAAATTTATGAAGAATTCCTTGCTGCCTTTGAAGGAAGCGATGGTAATAAAGTGAAAACATTTGTAAGAGGAGGAATCGTTAATGCATCTAAAGGTATAGCTAATATTTTTTGGGGGGTGGTGAATAATTGGGCTTTGAATAAAGAGGAAGATTGGCTTTGAATTGCATTTTAAAATTAATATGTTAACATTAGAAACAGCAAAGGAAATGATGCTAAAATCTGCTTTGTGCTTTGACTCATTAGGTGGGTAGATAGTGGCATGGTTTGTCTTTTAAGCTCTGTTTTAAAATGCTTAATCTTTGTCCTTTTTCTTCATATTAAAAGATGTTATAATACAAACTTTCTGTAATTATACCTTTTTAAAATGAAATAATGTAGTGAATTGAATGAACAAGACTAAAACCGAACAGCGTTATTTCTAATGAACAGCATTGTGCAGCATTAGTTAGTACAATTTGTTTTTAATTTGCCTTTAATTTCAGAGGAGCATGAAACGGATGAAAAACGGGGTAAAATCTATAAGCCTTCATCACGATTTTCAGATCAAAAAAATCAGCCAAGCCAGCCATCTAATGAGAAGCCTCCATCCCTCTTAATGATAGAAACCAAAAAGCCTGTAAGTTTCCTATTTTAATATTTACCCCATACTTTGGAAGTACTTAGAAGTGCCTAGGAAAAGGTCTGTGTGATCTTGCAGAGTAGTTTTATCTGCATTTATCATATATCACAAAAGAAGGTGGACATTTTGATTTGGTTAGTCCCATAACAGATGGGATTATGAAATGCAGAGGTCCAGTAGCGCTGTATCCAGCACGATGGAGCTAGTACTGCACTTTGATTTGGCTGCTGTGTTTTTACTGTGTTCCTGCTAATTGAGACACATTTCTCATGAGTACAGATTTAGTGACTGTTGCAAAATAACAGTATCTCTAATTCTTCAGTCCTGAGAATTTGTGAGGTTTTGTTGCTGCCATCTGTTTTTAGCATGCTATAACTTAAAAAAAAAAAAGAGAGAGAGAGACTGACCTTTGCACTGATCAGAGTTCTTCTTGGCGAGGCTTTTTTTTTTTTTTTTTTTTTTTTTTTGGTAGTAACGTTTGAGAAATCCCTTTAGCTCTTTGAGTTGTACCAAATAAGTTGTAAAACAGACATTTTTGAAGCTGAACACCTTGTATTTAATTAATTTTGACTTCTGCATGGTTCTATACTTTTTTTTTTTGTTCTTAAACTGAGATTTCATCGTAAAAAGTAATGGAATTATTTTGAACAAACTTAGTCTTCAAGTCAAGTGAAGATAGTTACGTATGATTACTGTTACTACTGTATATGTGTAATGTGTAATCAATGTCTTGGATGTCTTTAAAAAGTCTTTCAATAGAGCTTATTATAATTTTTAAGCTTAAATGAAACGTATATGATACTGCCTCATAGGGTGGGAAATGAGAAGTAATGTGATAATTGTGGGTCATCCCATCCTAGCATCCCTCCAGCTTTAAACAAAACTCAAATTTAGACTAGTGGGGTAATACTGGATGGCAGTTTTGATTTTCATTGTTTGTAAATCTCTACAGTTACAGAAATTAATTGTAGCAGTTTTTATTATGCTGAGCAGTGTTTTATCACATGCAAGTGTTTGTGCTGTAACAATATTACTGTTTTTCAAATTTGTCATAAATACTTATCAAGTAATGCAATCAGTTTACTCACTTGCCCTGTCCAATGGTGATTGAAGATAATGAGGTAAAAATGATTTTATTTATTTGGCAGACCCTCCCCAAAAACAAAAACAAACAAACAACTTTGCCTGGGGTGAGTAGGAAGTCCAGTTTTTCCAAAGCTGTAGTGTGTAACACAATAAATATTTTGTATGTCTGCCTATTGGAAACGTTTTCATTTAAATTCGGTTATATAAAAGCAATGTTGTCGAAGATAAACACATCAGTCAGTTAAGGTGCATATATTACAGTAAAAAAAAAAAGTAATATTGCAATATCCATATTCTTTGTCATTCAAGAGTGTTTTTCGTGAGGAACTACTTAGAGTAACTGTTTTCTGCAGACCTGTATTTATATTTGAATGGAAGCAAGAGAAGGAAATTCTTTTCACATAGAATGTTTGTCTGTGGATAAAATAATTGAATATATAGAATATATATATATGTAAAATAATTTACATATATATGTCCACATATATATCAATTTAATTAGAGCATGACAGTTTGCTAGGGGTGTAGTCAGCTTCTAAGTGGAACAAACTGACAAAATACATCACAGATATTTTAAATTTGTATGTTGTAGAGAAGAGTGTTTGGTCGAATGTGCTGCATTGTAACAAAGTTTAGTTTAAGCTATCCTTAATTTTATATTTTCTAGCTTTGTGTTTGATAGTGCTCAGTCTTAATGTTTTCAAGTCTGTGGTTTTTGGTTTTTTGTTTGTTTATTTTTCCCTCTCCTGTAGTTTACTTGTTTTGAAAGCTGTGGGTAAAATATGCATGGAAATTATCTAAAATTTTGTTATATACATGTAATTTTTGGTTTTGTTTCATTATATCTTCTGAAATGTTGTCTGATATATCTTTAATTTTAGCCTTTGAAGAAAGGAGAGAAGGAAAAGAAAAAGAGTAATTTGGAACTTTTTAAAGAAGAATTAAAGCAGTAAGTTTGATTGTTTTTTACTGTAAATAAAGATGATGCAAGGTTTTTACCTTGTTTTCACAGGCAATATTTAGAATCATTCTTGTTAAGCTGTTACCCAAAGTAGGTTTTTGTTTTGTTTTTTCCCCAAATGCTTGTGCAATGGTATGACTTAATTAACAGTGGCAATGAAAATTAAATGGAGTATGAACCCATGCTGGTAGATGCTCAGTATATGTGTCTGTGATTTGTCTGGATAATCAGTTGCCATCTAATTAGTTTTGTGGTTTTCCTTAGTACTTCTGCCCTTTCTTGTGCTGATTGGTGATAGGAAGCGTTTACCACTGTTACTGAAAGGCTTCTATTTTGAAATCTAGCATCAACCATGGGCTATAAAGTCATTGAAAAACAAACCAAAGAAGCCCAGTATGCTGGCTTAAATCTTTGTCTGTTGCAATGAATGGATTTTCTTTGGATGGTTTGATTGTGACCTTTGAAACAGTTTGGTACTGCCTTCCTAAGCAGGAGAATATTTAGAGTAATTTAAAAAAATAATTATGTGTAAATGTATAAAGTATTTCAGAGATCCCAGTAAGTGTGTGACTTGCTGTTTCCAAAGCTACCTAAGGTGATTTTTGGATCAGTTAGGTGTGAATAGAAGCTTTGATGATTAAATCAACCAGCCATTTACCAGGATGAAAAATGTAAACCTAGGTTTGTTCCTTTGACAGCTGCTGTCAGTATGTTACTTACAAATGGAACTTGGGTTGCAATTCCGTTACAAATGAGCAAGTGTGAGCCTGTAAATGAGAATGGTTGTTAACGTGGCCTCGTGTATTGTTAAAGTTAGTGAATATACAGCAGGACAAGTGGGTACTGTAATGGACGAGGATGTTCAGATTTTTGGTGTTGACTTTTCTCTTGATGGGCGTGTGGCAAAGAGGTTGGCAGCAACTTGAAATATGTATCAGACTCGGGAAGAATAGGAACTTTTGTCAGTGTCTCTAAAACTATATCCAGAGGAATTGTAGTATGAAGTTGAGCTTTTCTATTAATGTAGAAATAAGAATTATAATTAAAGTTGAGAGATGTACTTCAACTTGCATGATTTAAAAAACAAGCTCAATAATGCTTCAAAAAGCAGATTCTTTCACTTTTGAATGTGTAATGCAACAGAAGAGCCACATATGCATTGAGTGTAACTGAGTGCCATGTATTTGTCCTGATGTTAGAACTGGAAAACAAAATAATCCGTATCCATTAGAACACAGTAGCTACTGCGTTGTAAATCCAAAAATGGCTCTTGTGACTAGTGTCTGAACTTCACTGCTATATGTTCATTAGTTGATGTAAATGAGTTAACAGCTTTGTATTCCTGGTACACAATATCTTCATACAAAGATTTAAGGCCAGACTGCAAAGAACCAAATAATTACTTGCATGAGTACTATCCTCCAAGGTATAAACTGACTGAGGTCCTGTATGTTCTGGAAATGGTCATATGGGGGGTGTCTGTCACCCTGCAAGGTGACAGCCCACATGAATAAGGCTTAGAAAAGGTAGGAGGAGAAATGGACACTAAGGAGTTGTGTGCATCATGAAAAGTCATCTGAACAGTCAGTGGATCTCTGGCAGTTGCATGTGGAATCTGTGTCACTTTTTCAGAGCACAGTTCTTGTTTCTGGTCTTAAATTGCTTCTCATACCAAGTCAATTCTGCTTGAGATTAAAACAAAATATGAGTGAGAAAGCCTGCAGCTGGAATAATTCTGGTTGATTAAGAAGAAATTCAGATATACTGGCAATTTGAAATTTTCAGCAAACCCCATTGTTCAATACTAAAATTTCTTGTATTTCTGAAGTTAATTGAAAATTTAGAATAAAACCATCAAAATGGTATTGTTACTTACGTTGAACTTGTTTTGTAGAATACAAGAGGAGCGTGATGAAAGACATAAAACAAAAGGTAGATTGAGTCGTTTTGAACCGCCTCAATCGGATTCCGATGGTCAGCGTCGTTCAAGTAAGTACCTGTTAGTTTTTATATTTGTTTGGGCTACAAAATTTGTAGACTAAGTTATATATGTTTTTCTTCTGTTTATTCAGTGGATGCTCCTTCAAGAAGAAACAGATCATCTGGTGGTAATATAGATTCTTTTCTCATTCAATATAATGTTGTTGCTTAAAGGCATAGCAAGGATTACAACTTCTTTCTGTGTTTTCTTCCATCATTGTAGTACTGGATGATTACGCACCAGGGTCACATGATGTTGGAGATCCAAGCACAACAAATTTGTATCTCGGAAACATTAATCCTCAAGTGAGTTTGGAACCAAGGAGTAAAGTGCAGTGTTGGCATTTTTGAGTCCAACTGATTTTTGTTTTCGTGGCAGTTTTCCCTTTTTTAAAATTTTAAACCATACATGTATTTTAAACTCATATACGAGGTGCAATTGATGACTGTAGAGGCAGTGTTCATTTAAATAAATGCTCTGTACATGATGCTGCAGGAGTTAAGGTTAAGACTATCGGTTACTAGATGCCAAAATATTCAGTTAAAATTCTTTTTCCATTAATATCTCCGTACAAGGCAGACTCATATATAAAAAATTTGAGTGTGCTCAGTTTAAAATGCAATTATTTAAATTACTGTTCTTACAGCAGGTCTCATTGGGGAGGTATCAGTGAAGTGTTGTTTCTCAGGGAACTCGGAAAATGAATCTTGACATTTGGACAATAATGCAAATGAGTATATTAGAAATACAGTAGCAAGATGCTAATTTTTACCTTTTTTCATATAGATGAATGAAGAGATGTTATGTCAAGAATTTGGACGCTTTGGGCCATTAGCGAGTGTTAAAATTATGTGGCCAAGAACAGACGAAGAAAGAGCAAGAGAAAGAAATTGTGGATTTGTTGCCTTTATGAACAGGAGAGATGCTGAAAGAGCATTAAAGAATTTAAATGGTAAACACATTTCTCAGTTTGGAATTGTAATTATCTTTGTAGGAATATTGAGGAGTAACTGTAAGCATATCTTCAAGTTGTTTTATCAGACTGGCGATAGATAAGCTGTAACTCCAGTCGATACCACACGGGCAGTGATTTTGGTTTACACTGACTGTTTTACTGGCAGATGAATGTTGTCAAACTATAGCATACACAACGGCTGGAAATGCTGATTGTGTTTGCTGTGATAAAGATGTAAAATTTCTGACTGTTTTGAAGGTGTGAGCAGGAGCTGATGTTTTCGTCTGTAAACAGATTGTTTTAAGAAGGAATCTATTACTTGCAGTAGTTCACCAACATTATTTTTTTGTGAATAAATTTAACTGTTGCACAATATATATTGATATAATCAATAATTGGTGATAAATATCTTGTATTCTTTTGAATGATGGCTAAATTCCTCATACTGAAGAGGTAATTGTACTATACCAGATATAATTTTGCATATGGACAATCTTGTCTCCCTTATTTGATATAAGGAAAAATATCTTACATAGTGGAGAAAGCTGTGTCCTTACAGTTCAGGAAGAACCTGAAAATCAAAAATCGGCATCCTTGAGAAAAATAGTAGAAAATGAAAGGTTGCCCTTGCATAACTTATTCAAAATGGTGCTTTACTAGGACCATTAGTAAGTAGGCTTACAATACGTAAAAGGTCTAATTACTATTCAAAAAACATTTTTAAGAATTGAAGTGCAGAAATAATATAATTTAAAAATTACTCTGTCCATTCTGATGTGCTCAGTATCAAAAGTTTTTATTTCCCCCTCCAACAATTCAAGTAATTAGGTACTGTAGTCTCCTGAGAATGTACATTGGGGAAAGATTAATAAACTATTTCGTGTAACAAGTTTTCATTTGCACATGATGTAGTCTGATAGATGTGATACACTAATCAACAACGTAAGCAAAAAGTAAACCAGGGCAGGCAAACCTACCTGCTGTACTTGGGTGGAGAAATCTTGAGCAATGCAGAACCAATTTATAACAGAATGGTAGTTTTATTTTGTTTTACTTTCACTTTTTCAGGCAAGATGATTATGTCGTTTGAAATGAAGCTAGGTTGGGGCAAAGCTGTACCTATACCACCACATCCGATATACATTCCACCTTCTATGATGGAGCACACCCTTCCTCCTCCTCCATCAGGACTGCCTTTTAATGCCCAGCCTAGGGAGAGATTGAAGAACCCTAATGCTCCGATGTTACCACCACCAAAAAACAAAGAAGATTTTGAGAAGGTAACTTACAGTACCCTGGGCCATATCTCATTGTTAAATAACTACATCTGTGACAGTATTTCAGTGGCTTCATAGTTGCATTGTTCAGGCTGACTTTGGCAGCCCTTAGTATACAAACTCACTGGCTCCCTGCTGTAGCCAAAGGGGACCTACTTAATTTCTGAAGCTCTGTTTCATGTCTGTGTTAGGGTACAGAGTATTTCGTCTTGATTTATTTTAGTGCTGCTTTAAATCTGGCTATCATTTTCCCCCTCCAGGCTCCCTGGATTTTTTTCTCCTACGTCCCCCCCATTTGTTGGCTGCCAAATTGCAGTATCTAAATTGTTTTCATTAGAGAAAATACTACATTTTAATTTGGGTAGTGTTATTTTTACAGTAGAGGAGTTGATGTGTTTTGTGTAGAAGGTAATTAATCTGGACATTGAGTAAGTATTTTATGCTACATATGGAGTCAGTTTTCAAACTTTTTTTTCTGGAATATTAGCTGATAAAAGGGTAAGTATCTTGTAATCACAAACCAACTTGATTTACATTTGTAAGAATTTGTTGATTCTTTGAATGACACTTAAATATTAGGGCTGTTTTTCATAAGACTTGGGAATAAAGTAATACCAACGTGATCCAAGTCAACTAGTCTAGACTCTTTTCATAATATTAAGAACTTGTTTCTTAATTATACTCAGCGTAGTATCTATTCAGTGCATCAATGTACATTCTGACAGGAATGTTCTGATATTTTGCAATTAGTGAACCTTTATGGTTCGCTGACACAACCATTTGCATTTTGTGTAATTGCTTAGTTATAACTTCACAGCAGTGATTGCCTGCAAAACTTGTGATAGATGTGTAGTATTTTCATTGCATATGTATATTTTTGCTTGTTACTTGTTAACAATACTCACATATTCTATGTTTATTATCTGATGTGACTTCATATACAGACTCTGTCGCAAGCCATAGTCAAAGTGGTTATCCCAACAGAAAGGTACATGTTTTTCTTTATTATTACTGATCTAAATATAGAAAATTTCCCCTTCGGAATTTTAAAGAAAAATGGTGATGTTGAGGAAAAGGTAATGGCTTGACTGAGCAATGGTTCTTTCATGACACTTGAGAGAAATGTGTATGTCTTACTATGCTTATCTTAGTAACTTTTTTTAGTGAGGATAGATTTAAGTAATTATCTTTTGCATTGAATCTGAGCGCTAGAAGTAGTTGCAGGATAATTTTGTGAGTGAACACTAGGGTGGAATAGCTTATCTTAGAGGCACTGTGTAAGTCCTGATGTAAACCTCCGAGTACTTCATAGCTTGGATGCAGCTGTCTCCAGTGTGATTCTGTGGGGTTTCTTTTTCTTTTCTTTCCTTTCCTTTCCCTCCTCCGTTTCTCTCCCCCCCGCCCTTCTTTGACTGGTACACCTTCTAACCGATTCAGTTAAAAATCAGTTTAATTTCTGTTTTGTTTTTTTTTTTTTAAATGTGCAACAGTTAATAATGTTGGTCATTGAAAAAGGTAGTTCTGTATTGCAAGGGTTTTTTAAAGTTTTGGTCCCCATCAGTGCTTCTACCCTCACATTAGTCTAGGTATACTCTTGCTCAGTTAAGCTAAAACCTTTTCCCAAACACAGGAACACAGCACTGTTTTAAAAGTAAATAAGCACAAAAGATTACCAAATTCTCTTTGACATTGGCCTTGGTGAGCAACACCAGCTGAACTGTCTGCGGCAGCGGGGGACCAGGAAAACATCATGGGATGGATTGGGAAAGTATACAGTTTTTGACCAGACATTGGTACGATCGGCTCCAATAAATGTGGTTTTATTATAACTGAAAAACTTTTTTTTGTTGGCCAACTTAAGCTAAATGACATTTTAAAATAATGCACTTAAAACTATCATCTTTTTTACTACACTGTTTTAATTGTCACAAAGTCCCTTTTTTTCTTTTTTTCTTTTTTTTTGCGTGTGTGTGGGGGGAAGAAAGAGATTTGTAAAGCTGGTTATAGTAGTATATTAACATATTTGCCATTAGATGCTCAAATGGACTAGTGTTTTTGGTGAAATTTTAGGACAGCACAATTTTTCTTGGGTAGAGACGTGAATAATTAGGGCAACCAGGAGGCGTCTTGATTTGGGAAATATATTGAGTAGTAGAACAGGTACTTGTAAAACTGTACAGTTCTTACAGAATAATTAGTTTTCAGAGAAAAATATGTTTCCATTTTATTTACTGTAACATTTTGAAAGCTCATATGATAAGAAAAGCTCAAGTTAATTGAATTGTATTTGAAAATACTTTGACTTTTTTTTTTTCCTTCCTGATGACTTTCAAAGGTGCTCATGACAACTGCTAAGACTATTACACCGTGCATCGCATTGTGCAAAAATTTTGACTGACTTTAGTGGGATAATACTTTTACCTAAACACAAGCAATTTTCTTCTGAGAAATTAACTTTCAAGTAGTCATGTCTTACATACCAAAGTGCATGTAACACCCTCTTTCAGATATGGGATGTACTGAATCATTTTTCGTACATTTGTGGTCTTTCCAAGATGTTCTTGTTCAAGCATTAGCTGCTCTTATGCAACTTCATTGTACTTGATGGAAGAACCATTAGCTGAAAACCAACTGCATGGTTCTGCAGGAAGCCAGGAAAGATCGCTTTGAACTTGCCTTAAAACACACGAGTGGTGTAATAGTGCAGAGGCTTGAAAGCTAATTGTAAATTTTTCTCTTACTGATGTTTTCAAGTACAATTCACGTAACAAGAAGAGTCTCGCTATTTAGACTTTCAGAACACTACTTTAAATAAAATGGCTACAGAATTATTGAGACTATGTCCTCTTTACTGTGTTTCTGGGGTTATAAAAAGCAGACAGGAAAATAGAGCTGTAGGTAGCTGTTTGGGTCTTTTTGTGTAGTGTTTAAGGCAAATGTAGATTTAATGCTAGCTGGTAAAAAACCAGAACATTTACTGAATTTGCAGATGGCAGGAGCAGGTTGTTATTATGTTTTTAAGCTGAATTTTTTTTGTGTCAGGACTTTGAATACTCATGGTAGAAAATAATCACCTCATTACTAAGAAGTAATAGAAAATTCTGCAGCTTTTCAATGTAACAATTTTTTAATTTTAGTAATTTAAAAAATTGCTAAAAGGAAATCTAATGAGAAACATGTACAGAACCAATATCCATTTATTACATTTAAGAAAATAAATCAAAAAATGTAAAAATCTTTTTTTTTGTTGTTGTTGTTTGCATTACATTCAAAGGACACGTGCTGTGAAGCTTTTGATATATGTAGATAATCTATATTTGAAAATTCAGGATCCTGTTTCCCAAAAACCCCAAAAGATCGGAAACTGAAGATCCCTATTCTTTATAAAGTTTATATGACTGTCTCCTGTCAGGATGCTTATAAGTGACTCTGCATTTTCAGATGTGGCTTAAAAAATGTGCACTTCACATCTACTTTTTGCCTGTCTCAGGGTGTAGTGCTGAATGAAATAAATACTTTTTTTTTTTTTTTTAAATTGTAATTTGGTTCACTTGAGTTTATGAAGGAGGAAACATTGGATGGTATGACACGAAGTGATGGACAGTTTTGTTCTATGTCAGTAGTTGAGTCTTGACCAAAAAGAGATTATCTAAATTTAATAAAACCATTGCCCTGTTTGGCATTAAGAATGCTATTTGCTTTTCCTTTCATACTTGAATAGTTTGAAAGCTGAACACAGTTTCTGTTTAGGATTCTAAAGTATGTGTGTTTACTTTTGAGCATGATACTCAGCCACTTGTTCCTCTGTAGAACTTTAGCTAACACTTTGGTCTTAGTCCTAGACAATTTAGATGAGGGCTTAGTTTTTGATAGTTAATTTTGCTTTCGTGTTCAGTTTCCCATTTTTGCGCATAAGGACTATTGAGCTTCTACTAAGCAAGAGATGGTTGTAGGCTAAGCTGTGGAAATTCAGGAAAGAGATCTCCTCTTAAATTCTTACTCCACCACTCCTAGGCATGTTTTTATTTTAGAATGCCCATGTCTATGATGCAAGGCTATAATATGTTCCATGTTACCTTATCTTTTATACAGTTTTCTTAACAATACAGCAAAATAATCTCCTGCACAGTTGTAGTGTCTTAGGTGGAGTGTAGTTTTATATAGTGTTAGGTCTGAATCAATTTTTCTTTAACTGTGTTATTGTTGTAGGAATTTGCTCGCTTTGATACATCGAATGATAGAGTTTGTGGTACGGGAAGGGCCTATGTTTGAAGCCATGATCATGAACCGCGAAATCAACAATCCAATGTTCAGGTGCTTATTACTTTGCTTCAATTTGAAATAGTGCTATTTTCACTGTTGCTAATATTTGCATTTCTGAAATACTAATAAGAGTTATTTTTACTCTGTCTGTCTTTATGTGCAGATTTACATCTTACAAATTGCACAAAAGCTTATGCTGTCTTTTTAATAAGAATGCACCTTTATTCCTAATTTACTAATTTTAGTAATTCCACATTTACTAATATGTACATATAAATAAATAAAATAGTACATACACATTACAAAATACATTTGTACATATATAAAATATATATATTAAGTAAATAAAATTACATTTAACTCCTACTTTTCTGAGGCATTTAAAGCTATCAGTGGAAGCAGTAACATACATTTTAAAAAAATAAAAATATCGCCCACAAACCGGACAGAATAACTCAATGTAAAGCCCGATATTCCTGGAGCCTAATTTCTAACTTTTGGCCAGAGATGGCAGTCATTTTTCTTTTATGTCAATGTGAATAGGATTAAACTTTAGCCAACACAATGAATTTGTCAGAATTTCCAGCTCTTGTCGTTAGTGGAATAAAAAAGGATCAATATCCAAATTTCTTGTGAAATGCAGTCTCTGAAAAACTTTTTTAGGGAAATACTCGGTGACCTTTTAAAAATATTTTATTTGCAGTAAGATTTAAGTGCTTCATTTTAATTTTTATATACAGATTGAGAAAATATGCAGGTCAAAATATCCTGGCCATTAAAAATGTGCTTTTAAAAATTTTCCTCCTGATCTTGTCAGTGTTCTGACAGACAGTTTACTGGTGGAAAACTTTGTCATTTAGTATTTGATTTGAGCAACCGAATTGTATAACTACGAGTTCCTGCACCGCTTGTGCTAAGGTTACTGTTGCTCCAATAGTGACTCTTTGCACTAATGATTCTTCTGCTTTACTGTGGGGCTGCACAGTCGTTGTTTCTGACCCTGCTTGTTCTGCTTTTAACTTCTGAAATGCTGTGCCTTTGTGGAATTCTGTGCTCTACAGATTGCATATGTGCGTGCATGGAGCGGTTGCACTTGTTCTGCACAGCTGTGCTGAAGGTGTGCGTGGTTTTAGATATCTTGAGTTCACTTGGTAGCCGAGGCAGGATTCTGAACAGGGTTTGGCTATATTTTTTTAATTACTTCCTTTGAATTTGCTTCAGTTAAATAATTTTTAATATGTTTTGTGTCTTTTCTTTGCTCTTTGGTTTAGGTTTTTATTTGAAAACCAGACTCCAGCCCATGTATATTATAGATGGAAACTCTATTCGATTCTTCAGGCAAGTAGAATTTTAGTGACAATTCATAACTTCAAGCACAGTGAAATGAAAGAACACTAAAATAAAAATATTTTCATTTTTTTTGTAGGGAGATGCCCCAACCAAGTGGAGGACAGAAGATTTCCGTATGTTCAAAAATGGATCATTTTGGAGACCGCCGCCATTGAATCCATACTTGCATGGGATGTCAGAAGAGCAAGAAACAGAAGCATTTGTGGAGGAACCTAACAAGAAGGGTGCACTTAAGGAAGAGTATGAACTTCCATCAATTTATAGTGCTGTTTTAATTACTCATCAGCTTGGTTTTGTCCTGTTGTGTTTTTGTAGTTATAATATGTCATCCCTAAAATGTTATCAGGCTTGTGATGGTATTACTTAGAAACTCTTAAACTGAGTATTTTTCAGTTAGTCTTTTTTTTTTAATGATATTTTTTGCTAAATATGTTATGCATTTGGTTAGATTTGTCATCACTGAACAATGAGTCCTTTCAATGCAATTGTTATTAACCCTTTATCGGAAGGGGATTGGGAAAATGAGAGTTTTTCCCCATTTTCTGTTCCTGTCTGGTGGTGGTGGTATATAGCACCTTTCTCAACATTGTTATGATCTCGGGAACTAAACAGTTATTATAATCTTAAACTTATTGGTGCTGTTCATCAAAAATTAAAATTGGGAGCATTTTTTAATGAGCAGGAAGCGACAGCGAATTCTTTGCTGTGAATTATAAGTGTGGTGGGGATGGCTATGGTAGTGGGAATATATACATGATTTTCTTAATTTTGCTATTATTGTTTCAACTGTGTTCTTAGCATGTGGAATTTTTTCTTGTTTTAGTCTTTTCATCGTATTTATGATGCCAGTCATGGTTCTGGAGATTTGGATACGTAATTTATTTCTTACATCTTCTTTTTGAAAGGCTCAAAAAGATACTCTTTTGAGAATGTTCTCAAAAGAAGGAGGTCAGGGAAAACCTTAAATAATTGCTTCTTACTAGCTTTCTGAATCTAATGTTTCTTATAGTGCAGCAGATATTACTTGTATGCTTTAGATTTATCCATTTTGATTTAGGCTTAAACTAAATCCAAAAGGATAATTACTTTAGTAGGGATACTGATATGCTGCAGTAGGCATTTCTCAGTTATTTTTCCTTGATTTCTGTATGTAATCAAGACTTGAGTGGGAATTTTTTTGCACTTTGTTTATCTATGCAATGTGGATGCGTATGTTCATGAGTCACTGAAAAAACTCAGCCAACAGAATATAAAAATTTAAAATTGTGTTTGTCCTAAAGATGGAAGAATCAAAAACATGATTAAATTTAAATTCCCCAAAGTACTGTTAGTTTTATATTGAAAGTATTAAAATTCCTGGTATTTCAGACAAAGGGACAAATTAGAGGAAATACTGCGTGGATTAACGCCTCGGAAGAATGATATTGGCGATGCAATGGTTTTCTGTCTAAATAATGCGGAAGCTGCTGAAGAAATTGTAGACTGCATTACAGAATCATTGTCCATTCTGAAGACGCCTCTTCCTAAGAAGGTGTGGAGATTTTGTGTGGTTCTGTATTTTGGGGGAACAGCTCACTTAACAGCGCATGCATAGAATTTACAAGTAGTACTTCATACGTTCCAGGTAGCATTGAGGTTTTGTACTAGATCGAGGGCTTGGATTTAAGTATGCTTTTTTCCTGTGGGATTTTGTTATATATTTTTATTCTTTCTGGACCTGCTTGTAAGGAACGTTCTGCCTTACTGAGAAGTTGAAAACAGCAGAATAGTCTGTTCAAACAAGGAAATAAAAATTGGAATGTCATGATCTGTCCTTTGTAGTATTGTCTAATATGTGACAGTTGCTAATACCCTGTAGCATAACATGGGGGTAGTTACCTCTTAGCATGTTTATTAACAATATGGCTGTCTTACACTTAGTTCTAATTTGATACTTCTAGATAGTTTAAATTATTTCTGTACAGTTTAAACTGTATTCTATCTGAAAAATGCATATATTTTCAAGATAATTTGAACTCTCACATTATCTTAATTTTAACATTTTTTATTGTAGATTGCAAGATTATATCTAGTGTCAGATGTGTTATACAACTCTTCAGCTAAAGTTGCCAATGCTTCCTACTATAGAAAATTGTAAGTATAATATTTTAGGTGATTGATGATTAAAAAGAAAAGAATATCCTTATATTCAGTTTTGTACATCTCTGGACACACGTGGTTGTAGAGAAATTTACACTTTTCTATGAGGATACTGTTGAAACACTGATATTTATATCTCTTTGCATGAAAATGTATAAGATGTAACATGTTGGTGCATAGGATTGCTTTGTAATGCAAAAAGAAGATTATAGATTTTTTTATTATAAGTTTTTTTTAAATTCTTTGTCAAGTTTGGAAAACTTATAAGGAGATTATGTACTTTTGATTCAAAGGAAACATGTCCAAGGGAAAGTACCCGTGTCCTGTTTAGATATTTGCTTGAGTCTACTTCCTGGAGTCTCTCTAATGTTATGGTAGCATGATGGGGAATATTCAGTGTGCTACAAAACTCTAGCAAATCATGTTTCTTGTTGCAGTGTGTCTTTGCTGTATTAGTTTATTTTTTCCATATTGAAAGAAGCTCAAGGGAAGCTAGGCAGCTGTTACTCACTGTGCTTTCAGTGAGGACCTCAATGAGTAAATCAGAGTAGAAACTTAATTAAGATTTTCTTTTTAAATGCAAATTTAATTTTGAGGCAATTCTTTCATTGTATGTAAGGTTGTAAAACTCCTTTTATCCTCCTCCAGTCCTTCCAGGCTGTATAAAGAGACTGCAGCAGATGTGAAGATCTCCCTTCACAGTTCTGTTGTTGTCCAAGGTGATTTAATATATAGTAACCATATTTGCTTTATAGTTCAGTTCATGGCTACTATAGGGGTCAGAACCTTGTGCTTTTGAAAAAGTCCTTTGTCCCAGGTATTTTCATTAATTATATATGTTCAGAAAACATATATTACAAAGTTTAACTAAAGAAATGTATATGTTTAATTCTAGTTTTGAAACAAAATTATGTCAGATATTCTCTGATCTCAATGCTACTTACCGTACAATACAAGGCCATTTACAGTCTGAAAATTTCAAGGTATGTATTTCATTGTTATTTACATGACATAGAAGTCAAATAGATGTTCCTGCACAAGAGGTTGCATACTATGATAGGTGGTTTAAACTTCAAGCTTCCTAATTAAGTTTGGTTTGTTGGGTTTTTTTAAATAAATAAGCTTTGTCTCTTGCAAAGATAGCCTTGAAATTAAAGAAGAAAAATAGCATCTAACAGCTGAAGTGTTCTGGCAGATGTATAGTTGTGGAGTTGAGAGGATATTTCTCTAGTACTTGAATTGCAAACAAGGCCTTCTAGATTTTTGATTATTTTTGGACCACCTATATTTCAATTGCAAAAATAAATTTGGGCTACTCATTGTGGAAAGAAACTACTGGACATAATAGCATAAGGGTACTTTTAGACATTTTTAGTGATAGTTAGGCTTTATTTTTTGAGCTCAGATAAGTAGTCTGACCATGGATAATTGAGAGTGATTTTTGAGGTGAAGTGCTCTGCTTCTCACCATTCTCACGCTTAGCCTAGCTTTTCCTTCTCCTGTTTTAAAGATACCTCTACAGTTCTTTTCTTCTTTTTTTCATCAGAAGCTTTAAATACAAAGCTTACAGTGTAGTTAGTTTTTGCTGTGTTAAGGTTTTTATCCTGGTTGTCCTACCTTCTCTGATCCCCATAGTTGATTCTCTGATCAATTTTGGTTATCTGCTATTTTAAATTTTTTTATTACATTATATAGTAAAGACAAGCAGTAGGAATATTTTTTTTTAAATATCTATGTCTCCAGATACATTTAACATGTCAAGCTTGAGCTGAAGCCCATAATTTCAAATATACTTCACTTCTACAAAAAAAAGAAAGTAGGAACATAATTTCAGTTCAATAATATGAATAAGCCAGTGTTAATTTTTAATTTTATTTTACAAAGGGAAAGGTATTTCTGTTGCTATTAGTAGAGACACCTGCTTCGAACATCTGAGCATAATAAAATTTACTATTGGGATAGGAACTGTGAACAGCTGAAGCTGATAATGTAACAAGGATTTAAAAGAAAAATAAAACCCAAGACAAATTTTTACAAAAGGAGTTCCTATATACGTAATTTTGTAAAATTACTAGTCTTGCCCAACATGGTATCATTATAATGTACTCCAGTATGGAACTACTTAGGAATAGCTGTCTACAGTAGTAGTTCTCTGTGGTGTATTTCCGATCACTTGAAATTTCTTAATAGAAATATATTAGCTTTTTCTTTTTTTTTTAAATTGCTTCTAGCAACGGGTAATGACGTGCTTCCGAGCATGGGAAGACTGGGCGATCTATCCAGAGCCGTTTCTGATCAAACTACAGAATATTTTCTTGGGGCTTGTAAATATCATGGAAGATAAAGAAACGGAAGTAAGTGACCTTGGTAGTGATGCTAGCAAATGGTGAGGAAAAATGTCTAAATATAAAATAGGGCTGAATAAACCTTTTTTTCCTCTGAATCTTTGGTCTTAAATACAGGTGTGAAGGATATTTTCAGATGCAAATACCGTTCAGTCTGTTCAAGCATTTGCTGCTTGTAGATTAGGTGCTGTGGTGGAGTTTGCTCTGAAACGGTTTCATAATATAAGACTAGTGTGGAATGACAGGTATTTCCTTTGTATTGGAGATACTCTGTAGTATCTGTCTGTGAATTTTGAGTAAGAATTTCAGGCATTAGTTTTAATTTCTGAATAGCTTGGCATCTGGCTACCTGAATCATCCACTTTCTTTTTGTGCGAATGTTTTGGATGTAATAGAACCATCTGAGCTTTCTTAGTTTGAGTGAAAGGTTGTGATAAATCATTTACACTGGTAATATTCTACTTTGATCATTGCTGTGTTGTATTAGAACAGCAAGTTGCTAACTTTTTAGTTATGCTACAGCATTTATCTCTGGTTATTTTAAACAAGGTATGTAGTGAGTTTTACTTATTGCATAGTGACGTATAAATTATTATTCAATATTTTGAAGCTCTGTGCTTGAAATTTCCAGAATACCATTAACACTGAGTGAATACTGATCTGTTTACAGTTACATATAAATATTATTTAAGAAAATCAAGACAGTGGACATTAATAAATGGATGTATGTTCAGGAGATGTTAATTTTGTAACTTTGTGGCAACATACCTTTCAGAAGAGTGGGAGGAAGACCTACAGTGTAATTGGAAGGTTAGATTATTTCCCTTGGCAGTAGAGCAGGGTGAACGCGCACGTATGAAGGACAGTGCCTGTACCTAACAAGTTAGAATATGTAGGTGTATTTGTCATTTATGTGTGTTCCTTAAATTTGTGTTCCTGCTAAATAGTTGATTTCTGTCAGTTGTTCTTGTCAGTCATTTCAGGTTCTCAGGGAATCTTTTGTATATAGTAAGTATAATTTATCTGACTAATTGGCTCATTTTGAGCTAAACTTCAGCTTAATAGCTCTTCTTTTGAATATAGGCATTGCAAAGTTGAGTTCCTTGGGGGTTTAGGTGTTTTTAAAGCCAATCCTTTAAAAAGAAATGAATTAATAATGGGAGAAGTAAAGAAAAGCAGTGTAGATTTGTTCTTGAAATAACTAATTATTATTTGCTTTCAGGAAATACCAGATGATCTTGATGGTGCTCCCATTGAGGAAGAGCTTGATGGTGCTCCACTAGAAGATGTGGATGGAATTCCTATTGATGCTGCTCCTATTGATGATCTGGATGGAGTCCCAATTAAATCGCTGGATGATGATCTTGATGGAGTTCCTTGTATGAAATGTTTCAACTTTACTTTCAATTTGAATCTTCAAGTTTTTATATCTTCCCCACCCCCACCCCCACCCCCAGTAGTTTTTATAAGTACAGCCAAGAATTAATATGGCATGTAGCTTCATAAAATGTTGAATTGATTAATTTCAATTTGTTCTAGGAAGAATTAGTTTAAAAACTGCTTTTAGATTATAATTGCTTCAGAGACACAGTAGTTGTCTTCTGATGTTGTGCATATCGGGTTCCAAATCCCAATTTCTTCTCTTTGCAGATAATAAAACAGTATAATGTGCTTCAGTATTTAAATAGGATTGTTATATTAGGATTTTTATGTTTGAACTGTTGAAGAGCTTTGGAAATTATTTTTCTGTGTCTTTCTTCAACAGTGGATACAGCTGAAGACTCAAAAAAGAATGAGCCTATATTTAAAGTTGCCCCTTCAAAGTGGGAAGCAGTGGATGAATCAGAACTGGAAGCTCAAGGTTAGTTTTCAAAGTATATATGAAACTAAAACACTTCCCTAAGTAAATGGAAAGCTTAATGGCACTTACCTATTTCATGATTATTTTCAGCTGATCTGTTTAAAAGTGTTGATTTCTGTAGTAATACAGTAGGATTTTCAATTGTATCTTCTTTTTTTTTTTTTTGTGTATAACTTCAGTTAAGAAAATAGTGTATTCTGCTTTTGTTATTCTACTTCAGTAACCTACCAACTGAAAATAATTTCCAGTTCATTAAGAATAGATGTTGGAAAAAAATCTGGGTATGTGGTTGGTGGTCTTTCTGAATCTTTGTTTGGAAAATAAGATTTTACAAACTGACAGATACTTGTCTGCTTTTGAAGGATTTACTGAAACATGATACAAAGTGTAAGTGAATAGTTCTGTAAATAGTAAATATTCTGATAACATGCAGTTTTGATTATTTCTATGAAATAGAAAGTCTGTATTAAGTGTTAGATACTTGTAAATTTTAACACATTGTAATTTGTATTATATCTATAAATACTAATTTTCAGATTGAGTGATAGCTTTTTCTGTTGTTACAATCATCTTACTGTCTCTTCTAGCTGTTACTACTTCTAAGTGGGAGCTTTTTGACCAACATGAAGAATCTGAGGAAGAGGAAATTCAAAAGTAAATACTTTTTCGTTCTGATGAAAACATGTTCATTTTGTGCTTCTAAGGTCGAGTGTCTTTGGAACTCCCTATGAGATATATGTATATCTCTAGGTATTGTAAGAGGAGAACAAATGAAATTTTGAAAGTAAGAAAATGAAGAAAAATCAAGATTTTAGTGCAGCATGCTTTCAGCCCCCAGAATGGGGGGTGTTTCTAACACCATAAATGACACTTCGGTAGAGTTGTTAACCATAGTCTTTAAATTCATACTGATTTGATAACTTAATGTCAAACAGTAAGAACTAAGGTAGTAGTATTTTACAGTTTGGAAATCTTGATGTCAGATATATATGATTGTATCTAAACCTCTGCCTCTTGCTTTTGAGACAAGCAGTGGATAATGTTCTGATATATGTGTCTGTGGATGCTAATAGACTCCATGCCATCTGGTGTTTTTGAGCAGTCTGTTACTTTGTTCTTTAGGCAGTTGAGAGCATCTATTAGTAATGCTTTAAATACCTTACTGTGTTGCATGCAATACTACAGCTCTCTAGTGGCCAGTCTGGGAATATAATTTTAAAAATCTGCCATGTCTCAAGTTTGTCTCCAAAAAGCAGAAGTGTAGTAAATTTTGTTCTTTTCTAAAATTTACTATATCTGAAAAGCACGATTACAGCACTTGAGGTACTGGACCAGTTTTATAGCTGAGTTAAATAGGGAGTTAGTGATTGTAAATTTCAAGAATTCTTCTGCGCTCTGTTTATACAAGAAATGTAAATTACCTGAGTAATAAAAACTAATGATTTAATTAAATGAAAATGTTAAGATATCTGTCTCACAGATGGAGACTGTTTTGTAGCTGTAGATTTTTACATAATGTAATCTTACTTATCAGATTTCAAAACTAGTAACTAATCATAGAAACTAAGTAGGAGAGCTGGTAAATTTTGTAACATAATTGTCTTAAATTGTCTTAAATATATAGCTATATATCAGTTAATTCTGTATGTTTTCTGTAAAGTCAAGAGGAAGAAAGTGAAGATGAGGAAGACACTCAGAGTTCTAAGTCAGAAGAACAACACATGTATTCTAATCCTATTAAAGAAGAAATGCCTGAATCCAAGTCATCAGTCAAATATTCAGAAATGAGTGAAGAAAAGCGTGCCAAACTCCGAGAGATAGAGGTCAGCATGTGGTGTTTTGTGCCACCCTTCTGTACTTTTCTAGTCTTCCCCCCTGAGTTCTCTACATATAAGGGAGTTATTTTTACTGAAATAATTATAGATCTATTATATGGTGGGTTTTTTAGTCCAGTGTGTTTTTATAAAGGTATGTTTGTTTACAGCCTTGCCTAGCCTTGTTTTGGCTTTCAAAATAACACAGAAAACAATGGAAAAATTGAGTCAGGGGAGAATTACTGTTGAGAAATGCTCTTCTTTAGTAGTGCCTTTTTTCAGTACCACTGGTAGCCATAGCTGCTTGGGTTCCCCTACGCTTTCCTCCTTTTGGCAAATGGAGTGACTTTTGGATGTGGCCTTAGTTCTATGCCTTTCTTGTTCTCTCTGTCTCTTGCCTTCAAATGTCTGTATTTTATTGCATTTCAGAGTAGCTCTTTTCACTGTATCAGCCATCAAACAAAGAATTAGATTCAGCTAAACCAGGTAGTCCTGGAAATGGGGCATTTTAATTGAAGACCTACATGCAATTTATAGGGTTCACTTGTTCTTTATCCCCACTCCAAGCATTGGTATAAGTATAGCTGTTAAGGTTGATGACCACAGATTCTTATGTCTTCATGCTGGCTTCTGAGCTTGTGGTTGACTGAAAAGGTAATTAAAACTTGAATTTAGCATGAGCTTTGTCTAGTGGTGAAGCCTTTCTGTCACACAGTGTCATGCAAAACAGGTTTAAAATTGCATGCGACTTTCCAGCTTGAATTCAGTATTAAAACCCATGATACATTGAATAGTGAAATTTTTGCACCTTCTGTTCAGTGTATTAAAATAATACTAAGAAGCTGCTAAAGTACTTGTTCCAGTTGTAGCATCACCAAGTGACAGATTACCATTTAGGTAATATTTTGAAGGTGGGATTGTGGCCGTCTACCTATTTATGCGATAACGTACTAGTTAGCTAAAATCAGACATTAGCAAAGCCCAGTAATACTGTTTTAAGATGCACAAGCAATAATATTTTAAAATGTCACAACTGTTGTTTTTCCCAAATATACTTCTGTTTAATAATTCAGATTATTAAAATTAATGGACTGTAACTAAGCACTTAGAAACCTCTTGCTTTGCATAGCAGTTTGGAAGTTCATGATGCATAGCCATTTGAAGTGAGTAAATTCTGAGTTTTAGAAAAGCTAAATGGGATTTACGTCTGATTTGACTCATGGTGGCAGTAGGTGTGTAGAAAATATGTGATGTTAGACTAACGAAAGTGCAAGTGAAACTAGTTTTTTTTTCCCTGTAATAATGATTGTAGTGGTTATGGAAGGGGCTCCTTTCAGATTGAGTACCTGTTTTATAGCTGTTATCCTGGCAGTTGTAGAGGCAGATCAGGAAGTTATTTACTTTAACCATTGTCAATTTTAGACTGCACAAGTGTTTTAAGTTCTTTCGTTGATATATCCTGTTGGTAGCAGTTATAGGTGGTAAATATTTGAGGTTTTCAAGTGCATGTTGCCATCCTTATTATTGTGGTAACTAAATTACCATCTTGGTTTCAGACTTCTGGAATTGCCAGAAAAAGATTGTAATTTTTTTTCATTTTCAGAACATTTCAGACACTATGTAGAAGTACTTAAATTTTAAAATTTCTCCTCAGATTTGTCACTGATAGGAAGTACTGCCTGTACTACTTTATATCATTCAAGCTCAAAGTTTCCTCTTAGTGTGTACCCAGTCCCTGCCAAAGATCACATCCATTAAATTTGAGGGGTGGAGCTGAGGGGAAAAAAAACAATTACCAGCTTTAACAATTATGCCATCTAATATACAATGTTAAAAATGTAATGTAAAATCTTTGGCAAAAAAAAAAAAGGCAAAGTCTGATTCTCTGGCAGTTTACACAGTAACTACCAGAGAAGCTGAAAGACTTTTTTTTTTTTTTTTTTTCATCCGTTTTTTGGAAGTTTTTGAATACAAACAACGATTCTTTCTCTTGGCACAGTTAGTAAATTAAGTTTGTCAGCTGGGAGGGGAAAGTGCAGCAAGAAACAAACTTTGGCCACAGCCACCAGATCGGTTCCATGAGAGAAGGCAAGTTATTAACCCTTTGTTTACCTTCCCCCATGCCCCTGTTAACTTTGCCAAAGTGTCAGTTATTCCCAGAACTTAGCAAGAGCAGAGGCTTTTTTGTAACACTGAAGAATGGTGTTTTCTTTACTGTTTTTTATAAGTGTGGAAAGACTGGCATTTTGCTTTACATTATAACTCAAATTCCAGAGTGGTCCTTATGGTGCTGCACATGTATGTCTCTCTCTTTCCCCACCCCAGGACATATGAAAGAAAGGTGTATTCCTCTTTGTAAAGAGACCTCAGTACTGTGTAGTGTTAGAAAAATGGGAATTTTACATTGCTGAAATTGTTCATTAAGCTTGTTTCCTTAGAGTGTGCAAAAACTCACAGACAAAATGAAGCAGCATTGTCCTCCTTGGGCCTTTCTCTACTTCTGTCTCCATCTTGTTGGGCAGGGTTTTATAATCCTACTCAAAAAAGCACAGTGCAGGCTTCATCTGCAGCAGGAGGCAGGCTCTTCGTGGATCCAGACCTGTCAGTGCTTCTAAAAGGGTCAAACAGGAGATTTGCCCTCTTTAGTAGCTGCCTTTACTCACCTTTGTGTTGGCCACCTGAGACCTCATTGTAGTATTTTCAGAGGCAGAAGACTAATCGTCTTCAGTCGTCCTGTTCAGCCTTTCTGCTACATACCACTGAGCTCCAGGAGATGCAGGGTTGGGTTCTGTAATGCATTCCTGTGTCTGTGCTGTCAGTACCCCCCAGCCCAATGCATACACAGAGGTTGTTCCCCCCCCCTCCCCAGTGTGTCGTGTTATTTGAGATGCAATTTGTTTTTCTACCAAGAGCCAAGACGTTTTTCCTGCATGTCACATAGGAAAGGAGGTTACTCTCCTTGTTTTATTGGTAGCAGTTGCTATACCAGACAAAATCAAAGTTCCTTTAGTGTAGCATTCAGTCTCCAATAGAGAATGACCAGAGCACAGGATAAGAATAGATGAAGTGTAGTCCATAAGAGCAGACTGCATCGAGGCCTGTTCCTGATTTCAAGGACCAGTATACCTCTCTCAAGAAACTGAAGTTCCATACTGTTTCCATTATATCTTTCTCTGGATTATGGTGCTTACTATGAAGAATACTCACTTTTGTGTCCTTGTTCATCAAGTCATAGGAGCTGTCTGAAGCTTGTAATCATCACTAGAACAATACAACCAGTCTGGAGGTTTCTGTACATAGTTCATTTGAGGCCACTACAAAATGGCAAAAGGGTATCCGATTAAATATCTTACTTGTTGTGGCTTCATAATGACAGATGAGACAAATTGGCTCTTACTTGACCAGCAATTTCACTATTTATAATAATTGTTCCTTATAAGATAATTACTATCTTAATTCAGCAGATTCTGGTCTATTTTAAATCATTTAATCTGCCTCTCTTTTGCACAAAGACAAAAGTGAGGAATTGCTTAGCTCCAGGACACATGGCACCCTGTGAGTGTGACTGAGTGTACCAGTGGTCTGTTACAGCTGAAGAGGTATTTCACGTGTGTACATCAGTATTGCCGTCATCTGTTGTTGATAACATTGTAGCTGTAGAAATTTCATGGCCCATAGACTTGCTGGAAAACTTCAGCTTTCAAAGAAATATTTTGCTCTGCTTCCGATGAAGTCTAAGACTTGTCGCAGCCGTTGGTGAGGTGTGTGTGTTTCAAGGAAAAACAAAACAAAGAGCTTTGGTCTGCAGGGATTTCTGTCCTGTCTGTAATCAGTCTAGATTTGAGCACAATTATGTATCAAGCAGAAATTCCTATCTTTCATCAAGCATCTGGCGAGTAACTTCCTAGTTAATCTCGGTATGTAGTATGCAGCTAATTTGCCTCAAATAAATTGTGTTTGAACCTGGCCACTTAAGTTGTGAGGGTGTTTAACTGTGGAATAATGTCTTGTGAAAAAGCCTTTTTTTCCCCCTGAAGACCACTGTGTATGAACTCAGTATCAGCAGAAGACTGGAAAATCAAGAACATCTTTTGAACACAGGTTCATTTTAAGCAAGGGTGGCTACCCACAGCGCACCCATTTGTGTCAAAATGCAAAAAGCTATGGGCAGGGCTTCAGTTTGTGTCAGTCTGTGGTTTCCCTGAACTGTGGTAGCAGGATGTTACCCTTTTCTGTAACTTGCTAGCTTCCTGGTTAGTCTGTAATCAAGGCTGCAACTTCTAGGAAATACTGAATCTTTTAAACTCTCCTCAGATTTTGAGGAGATTTTGAGATTTTAGAGTTCGAGGATGGAGGGGGAAAATTTCAAGATGGGAACCAATAGACAAGAATCATGTTGTGGAGCTGTTTGTCTTGAACTTATGAGAGGTAGCTCCTCGTGGTTAGTCACAAATAAGATCCCTGTGTAGGAGCATTTAGTAGAGATTGCTCACAGGAACTCAAATGATGTTTGACACTTGCAGTCTCTGAAAACCTCTAAACTCTCTCTGCTATGGGAGACTGCTGTGTCTAAAAAATTAGTATTACAAAGTTTTGGCACAGGGTTTTGAAAAATTTTCCCTTTTCATATTACCACGTGTATTACTGACTCCAGAGACAGTCTAGGTAAAGTCAATGTATCTGCTCCTAAGGATGAACAAGGTTAATACTTTTTGTCTGTAGGACAAGAATAACCAATTCAATAAGAATGCACTAGTTCTTTCTAAATGCAAGTTTAAAAAGTGGAATGCTTACAAAATTCATTGATCAGATGCTTAAGCAGATTTAAGCCTAAGTTTTATGGATTTTTTTTTCCTGGGGGCATATTTGGAACTGTATGATAGGAATATAAGCATCATACACTCTACATTAAAAGATCACTAAGGAGAGCGTTCATTATGGCCAATTTGCTGTGAATAGTGAAATGGTGAAGGGAGATAACCAGACATATAAGTTTATATAGTAATTCTGAGCAGTAGAATTCTTTGGAGAATTATTTTCTGGACTTTGTGACCTAAATGTTTCCTTTTCTTTTAAAACATAGTTACGGTGGTGATGTTTTACAGCAAGTAGCAGAAGCTGCTATGTGTGAAGGTGTAGGATGATCTGATCTGATCTGATCTAGCTGCTTACATCTGCTGAAAGGGAATATCCTATCCTACCTGTGAGCTCT